CAATCTCACAGTCTTTAAGACCCATACCCCCATAACAGCAGTTACTCTGTCAATCCGTTCCGTCCTGGGTCTTCTTCTCTTCCACTGTCCCTCCATCCTTCCAAGATGGTGTCCTTCTCCAAGGACTGGTCCCTTCTGGCCATGTACCCATAGTACATGAGACAAAGCTTCAAATCCTTGCCTCCAAGGAGCAACTTGCTTTCACTATATCCAGGACAAACCTGTTATTTCTCTTATATTTCATTAGTTTATTTTATGAGGGTGTTTTTCCCTCCCTTACATCATCCCTCCAACAACTACTTCCCTGAAAGCATTTAACGCTAATGAACCTCTCATGTTCTAATACCTCCCTTTTAGATAGCCAGTTGGTGATTTGAGAGTACCATGGACTGCTAGGAAAACAAAGATATTTGTCCTGTAAAGGGTTACACCGGGTGGCTCCTTGGAGGCAAGGATTCTGAGGCTCCATCTAACATACTTTGGACATGTTGTGAGGAGAGACCGGTCCTTGGAGAAGGACATCATGCTTGGGAAGGTGGATTCTGTCGTCTATGAGGTGGATTGATTCAGTGACTGGGATAATCGGGATGGGAGTGTCAGAGACAGTGTGATTGGCACAGGACAGAGCAGAGTTTACGGCTGTTGTACATAGGGTCGCTATGCGCAGGCGACTCGACGGCACATAACAACAACAACAACAACATACAACCAGTATTTTGAGAAAACAAACACGTTCATTTTGTTAAACAGAAGGACTATGCTTAAGTTGAAAATTTTGGGTATCTTTGTCCATAAACATCATCGTCTAGTCCAGAGAGAGCTACTTATGTTTTTATAGTTGTTGATTTTGTAAAGTCTCCTCGTGTTTTAGCTGCAACGTTGCCCAACTATTCTCATGCTTTTGCATCTTGAAATGGTCTGTTGGCTATTCAACACAGAGAGTCATGTATAAAGTGATGATTCTGCTCAGTGTGGATAATATGGGGAGTGAGTGAAAGTCATCTGAGACCATGTTTGCATGTGTGATCCCAAGGTCAGGGTCAAGTTCTTGCATCTCCTGGGGAAAAGACATACTTGCTTTATGAATCTCTCTCTCTCTCTCTCTCTCTCTCTCTTCTCGCCCTCTCTCCTTTCATTGTTGTCAGGTAAAAACTGGTTTAAAGTTGACTTCCATCAGGTTTTCAGAAGCTGCAAATAGCTTAAGAGACTTCTCTCTGTTTGTCTCTCTGTCCATCAGTCTCTGTCTCTCTGTGTGTGTCTGTTTGTCTCTCTGTCTCTCTCCTTCCTCTCTCTGTTCCTCCCCTCCCCTCTTCTCTCCTCTCCTTCTCCTCCTCCTTCTTCTTTTTCCACCTCTCCTCTCCTCTCCTTTTTCTTTTCTCTTCTTCTTCTTCTTCTTCTTCTTCTTCTTCTTCTTCTTCTTCTTCTTCTTCTTCTTCTTCTTCTTCTTCTTCTTCTTCTTC